CTGGGAAAGCAGTGGAAGATGGCTCAAGTCCTTGGGTCCCTGCATCTGTGTGGGAGACCTGGAAGAAGCTCCTGGCTCCTAGATTCGGATTGGCACGGCTCTGGCCAATGTGGCCAATTGGGGAGTGAACCAGTGCATGGAAGACCTCTCTCTCGCTCTCTCTCTCTCTCTCTCTCTCTCTGCCTCTCCTCTCTCTGTGTAACTCTGACTTTCAAATAAATAAATATTTAAAAAAAGGAAAGGAAAATATTTTTGGGGGGGCTGGAGTTTCCAGTGGCTCTAACACTAGCTTGCTGTGTGACATTGGGAAAGTCTCCACCTGTCTCTGAGCCTCAGTTTTTCTAGCCGCAAAAAGCAGCAACCAGACAGCATCTCTAACTGTGACTCTGGGCCTTTGGGTTTTGCTTTGCCTGGGGAAGGAGGGGCAGGTGTGGGGTAGGATGATGCGATGATGCCAGGGGCAGCATCTCCTGACCACCCCTGAGAGCAAACCAGCTTCGCCCCCCAGATCCTAAGGACCTACTGGGGGGGGGGGTCTTGCTTTGCTAATTCATAGTGATTTATGAACCGCGGGAGGCGCCGCGCCCTGGGTGTGTGAGACAGACAGAATGGGAGCCAGGGCTCCTCTGTCCCGGGAAGGCCTTGCCTGGAAGCAGCTTTGCTTCAAAATGTCCTAAAAGAAGCCGGAAGCCCGCACCCTGTGCCTGTCATATCGCGGGCTTTGAGAGAGGGACCCTCTCACTCACTTAGAGCCCCCGTGACTGGCAGGACACCCTGCCCACGCTGCCGCCTGTTTCATTAGCCCCAGCCTGCTGCCTCCCCTGTGCCTTTAACGCAGGCCTTGGAGGGGACAGCTCTGTGGACGAACAGCTCGCGGCCCCGTGTGCAACTCAACAATGAGTTTAGAGAGTGCGATCTATAAATTTTGAGGCGCGGGAAAGAGGATTTGGCTCACTTGGGCTATCGTTTCTAATGAAGAAAAATAACGCACCGGAAGGGATCCCCAGCGTTATTGAAGCGACTTAATATCATCTGCTGGTGATTTGTAGGCCTTGGTGATGTCTCGTGATCCTGGAGGGAGAAGGGAGATGGGGGGGGCGGGGCCGGGGGAGAGGGGGAGGCTGTTTGTTGTTGTTTGTGTTTCCAGAGTCGGGAGACTGAGGACGTGCGGGCCACCGCCTGCCAAAGCGCACCAGGCTTCCATCGCTGTCTTCTCGGCTCTGTGGCCCCAGCCGGCCCGGGCGGCACACTGTAGGAATGTCATCCTATTTATTGTTTATAAAAATAAACGGGCCGGCCGGGGACGTATGTGAGGAATTTATAGCGAGCAGCTGCACAAGCAAGTGTCCGAAGGGCCGGGGAGGGGAGGGGACCCCCAGCGCAGCACAGGCCCTCTCTCATCGGCCGGGAGGGGACCACTTTGGGAGATGAAAGGAAAGAGGGCAGGGGGGAGGGAGGAAGGGAAAGAGCCAGATTCAATATCCTACCAGGTCAGAGCCCTTTTCTCTTTGGTCCAGCCAATCAGCGGTGGATTTGGAATGCTGGCCTGGAAGCAGCCCAGCCTCCTTCTAAGAGGAGTCCCCGGGATGAGCCCGGAGGAGCGCCCAGGGGTTCTTCTGGGGGAACAGAGAGGAAAACAGGATCTCAAGTCGGCTTGGGTCTCCCTTGGGAGCTGCTGTTTGCAATGCTGGGAGCCGCCAGGCTTTTACTTGCACTAACAAAAGGACTCAAGGGGCCATTGTAGCTGCGTAGTAGGTAAAGCCACCACCTGCAATGCCAGTTCGAGTCCCGGCTGCTCCATTTTTGACCCAGCTCCCTGCTAATGACCTGGGAAAAGCAGCAGAGGATGGCCCAAGTGCTTGGTCCCCTGTACCCCCATGGGAGACCTGAAGATTCTCCTGGCTCCTGGCTTCAGCCTGGCCCAGCCCTGGCCATTACAGATGTCTGGGGAGTGAACCAGCCAATGGAAGATTCCTCCCCCCCTTTCTCTCTCTCTCTCTCTCTCTCTGTCTTTCCCTCTCTCTGCAATTCTGACTTTCAAGTGAATACATACATCTTTTTTAAAAGAAGCAGAATCTAGTGGGCATCATTCCCTCCCAGGGGCCAGCGGGAAGGTATGATTGGCATCCATCAACCCGCCCTTGTCACAGAGCATCACAAAGCTTTGTCACCTGCATGTCAGACAGGCACAGAGAGGTCTTCTATCTGCTGATGCACTACCCAAATGTCCACAGAACCCAGGTGGAAGTCTGGAGCCTGGATCTCCATTGGGCTCACCATGTGGGTAGTAGGGACCCAAGTACTTGAGCCATCTCTTGACACCTTCCAGGACACACATCAATAGGAAGCTGGGTTGGAAGTGGAATAGCCAGGGTTTAAACTGGGCACTAACATGGGATAAGGGCCTCCTAGCTGGTGACTTAACTGGCTGTGCCACACGCCCACTCCATGCTGTCTTTAGATTCATCTCTGAATCCAAAAGACAAGATGGAGATTTAGAAGCTTCTAGATGTCGTGACTGAGACAGCCCTGGAAGATGACCCCACGAGCCCTCCTACAAGTGGGAAAACAGAGGCCGAAGTGAGACAGTGACGTGCCCACCCTGCACGTGGTCAGGACCAGGCTGAGACGAGAACTCTGCAGGAACTAGGCCTCCTGCCTGTGCCCCAGGCTCACCTGTACTCTGCTGGAACCCGTTAGCTCTGGGAAGAGTGACTCCCTGCTCCTTGACCCTGCCAAGCCCCTGGCTCAGGTCCTCTGCACCTGCTGCTCCCTCCACCCAAAATCTTCTTCCCCAGACTCTGACTATTGCTACATCCTGTCACCACTCATTCTCTGCTTATGTGCCCCTCCTCAGTCAGAGACCCCCCCCCAGAGATCCTCCTCATACAAATCACTCTCAAATTCACCAACCAGCTTTATGTGTTTTTCTTTAGCGCACATATCACAACTGTAACAAACTATTTACCTATTTATTTACTTTCTCTGCTCGCCTTTTATTTGCTTTAAGAGATAAAGGGCTTTCTTGTCTTGTTCTCTCCTTAGACGTGTACCCACCATGAATTAGTCACTCATTTATTCCCTTACTTATTCAGCCATATGAGGACACTTCAAAAAGTTCATGGAAGCCGGCACCGCAGCTCACTAGGCTAATCCTCTGCCTTGCGGCGCCAGCACACCGGGTTCTAGTCCCAGTCGGGGCGCCGGATTCTGTCCCGGTTGCCCCTCTTCCAGGCCAGCTCTCTGCTGTGGCCCGGGAGTGCAGTGGAGGATGGCCCAAGTGCTTGGGCCCTGCACCCCATGGGAGACCAGGATAAGTACCTGGCTCCTGCCATTGGATCAGCGTGGTGCACCGGCCTCAGCGCACTGGCCGCGGTGGCCATTGGTGAACCAACGGCAAAAGGAAGACCTTTCTCTCTGTCTCTCTCTCTCACTGTTCACTCTGCCTGTCAAAAAAAAAAAAAAGTTCATGGAAAATGTGTATTATGAAAAAAACTGTGCATGGATTTCAGTTTTTTACATCAAAATGATTTCATGTTTTTAAAACATCATTTTGGGCCTGCGCCGAGGTTCACTTGGTTAATCCTCTACCTGCGGCTCCGGCATCCCATATGGGTGCTGGGTTCTAGTCCCGGTCGGGGCGCCGGATTCTGTCCCAGTTGCCCTTCTTCCAGGCCAGCTCTCTGCTGTGGCCAGGGAGTGCAGTGGAGGATGGCCCAAGTGCTTGTGCCCTGCACCCCATGGGAGACCAGGAGAAGCACCTGGCTCCTGGCTTTGGATCAGCGTAGCTCTGGCTGTAGCTGCCATTTGGGGGGTGAACCAATGGAAGGAAGACCTTTCTCTCTGTCTCTCTCTCTCTCTCTCTCTCTCTCACTGTCCAACTCTATCTGTCAATAAAAATATACGTAAATAAAACAACATTTTGTAAACTGTTGGGGTGCAGAGACAGTGAGAGAGAGAGCGAGGGAAGGAGGGAGAGAGCTCTCATCCATTGATCCACTCCTCAAAGGCCCACAAGAGCAGAGCCTGAGCTAAGGCCAGAGTCGGGATCCAGGAATATTCCAGGCCTCCTATGTGGGTGGCAGGAGCCCTGTTCCTGGAGCCATCATTGCTGTTGCCCAGTGGTGAGGCAGGGAGGCAGTTAGAAAGGAAGAGCGGAGGCGGCCAGGCCCTCTGCAGCCTCGCCCGCAGGGCCGCCTGACTGCTCTGTCCCCGTCCCCTTCCACACAGCGGAAAACAGCAGCATCGGAAGACTTCCAGCTGGCACCGGCCCAAACTATCCAACATGGCTGCCTACTGCATCCCATGATGACCTTTAGCTCATTATAATGTAATTACAGTGCGATTACTGTAGCTGATACACCTACTCCCATGATGCACCTGTTGCCATGACACTGCCATGATTTCCATAAATGGGCGGGACTCCAGCTCTGGTCCAAATTCCACCCTCTCTGACTATTCAGTTAAGCCCAGCCACAGGCAGGATCCCCTATGCTTCTGGTTTATCCGAGAGGATGGATGCCGGCCTTGTTGAACACAGCTCTCTCGTGACCATGCCCCGCTCTCCCCTGAGTGTGCATTTTCATTTTGAAAGTATATACAGGCCGGCGCGGTGGCTCACTAGGCTAATCCTCCGCCTTGCGGTGCCGGCACCCCGGGTTCTAGTCCCAGTCGTGGCACCGGATTCTGTCCTGGTTGCCCCTCTTCCAGGCCAGCTCTCTGCTATGGCCAGGGAGTGCAGTGGAGGATGGCCCAGGTGCTTGGGCCCTGCACCCCATGGGAGACCAGGAGAAGCACCTGGCTCCTGCCATCGGATCAGCGCGGTTCGCCGGCCGCAGCGCGCCGGCCGCGGCGGCCATTGGAGGGTGAACCAACAGCGAAAGGAAGACCTTTCTCTCTGTCTCTTTCTCACTGCCCACTCTGCCTGTCAAAAAAAAAAAAAAAAGTATATACAGCGCGGCTTCCTGCTGACTTCCACCTCTGTCTTGTCCTTGCACTAGAGACAAGAGCCTGGACCCATTCACCCCACGACATCGAGGTCTGCATTAGCAGAAAACTGGAGCCAGGAGCTGGGGCTGGGAATCGAACCTCGCACTGTGATGTGGGACCCAGGCATCCTAACTGCTAGGTTCAACACCCACCCCACACGTATCTTTTTATTCTGTTTTCCGTGACCTTTTGGAAGTACCCTTGTATTGACTGAGTTCACTGATAATTGAGGATCTCATGAAACCTACCTGCTAGTGAAGAAAATAAAAGACTAAATAAATCGACAAATGAATGACAAGCTTCATCTCCCAGGATTGCGGTATTTAAATCTTTCAAAATGAAAATAGTTCATTAGTGTTCAGTAGTGAGTCCGTGCCTTCATGAACATTGACGCTTTGTGCTAATCTCCAGATTGCTCAGTAGGCCTGTTTTAATGTGTTTATAGTCAAATACAGGAGACGAGGCCAGCAGGCCAGTTGATCAGACTACCGAGCCCACGGAGGTTGTTTTCCTGGCTTCATATATTAGCACCTGTTTACCCAGACCTGTAGAACGTCAAAGGGAAAAATGGATGCAGTTACGACAGCAGCACCCGCTCACCTGCTAACGTGTGCCATTCACAAATGGTATTCTCATAGTGTTTCAAGTGGGACTTCTCCACCTACGGGGAAGAAATCTTGGAATTGTATACATCTGCTTTGTGAAACTGGGTTTCATCATCCTTTACAAAGAGTCCTATGTCCCAATGTAAGTTAATCATTACTCAGCTAAGTTGTCAACACTTGATGCTATTTCAAAATTATCAATCTGTCTCCTCATTTCTTTAAAAATAGAACCTGACCAATAATTTGGGGTGGATATTTCTGGCACATACCAAAATTCATGCTGACTTACAGTGTTTGCTTATTAACAAATACTCATTGTGCAACTGCAAAGGCCCGGCACTGTACTCAACATTTCAAAGACAACAAGGTCAGGAGAAAGAAGGTTTTTGTTCTAAAAAAATTTGTCTCCTAGTGGGGGCAAGGAGAGCAGATAATAAATACTCAAGATTACTCTAGTGGGTGGCAGGTGCTCTGGAGGAAAATCAAGCCAGGGCGTCATAGAGAAGGAAGAAGGCATCGCTGTGTCCCGGACTGTCAGGAATGGTCTCTTTTCCAAAATAGCCTTGGTGCCAAGACCTGAATGATGAGATTGAGTTTCCAAAGAAAGGAGAACGTTTCAGGCATTTCAAGTGAAGGAGCTGCCGGTGCAAAGGCCCTGCGGCAGAGGTGAGTGGGGAAGTGCCAGTGCTGGCCATGAAGCAGCTGGCCCTGGGAGGAATGGGTGGGGTGAGAAGTTACATGAGACACATCAGGTCCTGATTCAGAATTTGGGCTTGATCTCAGTGTCACGAGAAAGCCTTGGAAGTTATTTATTTTTTAAAAAGACTTATTTATTTATTTCAAAGTCAGAGTTACACAGAGAGAGAAGGAGAGGCAGAGAGAGAGAGAGAGAAGTCTTCCATATGCTGGTTCACTCCCAAGTTGGCTGCTATGGCCGGAGCTGCACTGATCCGAAGCCAGGAGCCAGGAGTTTCTTCTGGGTCTCCCACATGGGTGCAGGGGCCCAAAGACTTGGGCCATCTTCTGCTGTTTTCCTAGGCCATAGCAGAGAGCTGGATTGGAAGTGGAGCAGCTGGGACTCGAACCAGTGCCCACAGGGGATACTGGCACTGCAGGTGGCGGCTTTACCCACTACGCCACAGAGCCAGCCCCTGGAAGTTATCACAAGAACACATCATTTCTCACAGCACCACATGCTTCCAACAGCAGCCACATGTTCATACATTGAGGTGTAGAATAGTAATGCATGCTTATTCTTCTAAAAGAATGTGTTATTTGTGACCTTCCAAATTGAGTTTAAAACCCACTAATGGGCAGGCATCTAACCTATGGTCCCTGGGTTCAGCATCCAGCTCCAGCTCCTGACTCTAGCTTCCTGCTGATGTGGATCCTGGGATGCAGCCGTGATGGTAGAAGTGATTACGTTCCTGCCACCTACGTGGGAGACTGGGATGGAATTGCTGGCTCCCAACGTCAGCAACTCTCACCCCACCACCCTCGGCTCTCATGGGCATTTGAGGATTGAACCAGTAAATAGCAGCTCTCTGTCTGTTTCACTCTCTGCCTCTCAAATACATAAAATAAGCCTGTAGGGGAAAGATACTGCACTTGGTGCACCCACAAATCCAAGAAGATAATCGATTCCCTTACACTACAAAGCGGTTTAGCTCCTCAGTGTCTGGAACCTCCCCAGCAGACACGTGGGAAGTCCCCGAAGTATTTTCCTTCATCTAAAGCTTCAGCCTTTTATGAAGTTGCTGCAAGAAAACATAGGGCAAACCCTCCACGAGGTTGGCGTAGGAGACGACTTCTAAGACCCCCCAAAGCACAGGCAACTAGAACCAAAGTAAACAAAGGGGACCGTAGCAAACTCAGAAGCTTTCGCATAGCAAAGGAAATGATTAACAGAGTGAAGAGACATCCAACAGAAAAAGAAAAAAATATTTGCAAGCTACCTATCCAACAAAGAATTAATATCCTGAATACATCAGCAATATAAAAAACTCACCAATAAAACAACCAATCCAGTGACGAAATGGGAAAGGACCTCAATAGACAGTTCTCAAATGACGAAACACTAATGGCCAACAAATATAAGAACAAACGCTCAGCATCAGTAGCCATCAGGAAAATGCAAATCAATACCACAATGAGATATCACCTCACCCCTGTCAGAATGGCTGAAACCTAAATCAGAGAGAATAATAACTGCTGGCAAGGATGTGGAGAAAGGGGGAACACTTACACACTGTTGGTGGGAATGCAAATTAGTGTAGCCACTGTGAAAAACAGTGTGGAATTTCTTAGTTGAGGTTGGCATCGTGGCATAGCTGCCACCTGTGATGCCAGCATCCCATATGGGTGCTGTTTCAAGTCCTGGCTGCTCCACTTCCAATCCAGCTCCCTGTTAATGTGCCTAGGAAAAGCAGAAGATGGACCAAGATCTTGGGCCCCTGCACCCACATGGGAGACCTGGATGAAGTTCCTGGCTTTGTCCTGGCCCAGCCCTGACCATGGCAGCCATTTGGGGGAGTATCAGTGGATGGATGATCTCTCTCTCTCTAACTTCCTCTCTTTCTCTCTGTAACTCTGCATTTCAAATAAATAAAAATAAATCTTAAAGAAAAAAAACCTTAGAAATAAACTTGCCATATGGGTATATAACCAAAAGACACATTGTATCAAAGAGATACATGTTCCACCATGTTTATAGCAGCACTGTTCATAATAGCCAAAATATGGACTCAACCAAGGTGTCCATCAGAAGGATGGACAAAGAAAATGTGTTATATATATGCTTGTGTATATATCCACAAAATGGAATATTGTTAAGCTATAAAAAAGAATGAAATTCCACCATTTGCAGCAAAATGGATGCAACTGGAGGACATGAGGCTGAGTGAGAGAAGCCGGATGCAGAAAGACAGATACAGCAAGGTCTCCCTTATATGTGGGAGCCAAAATTAGAAAGAAAGAGAGAAAAAGAAAGGAAGGAAGGAGGGAAGGAAGGAAGGAAGAGAAAATCAGACCTGTGTGTATCATTTTTGCTGCAAATATGGTTTTATAGCTTTTTGTCAAACCAATAGTCAAGAATGTTATATTACTATATACTACTGTAGGTTTAATGACCTGGGATTACTTTAAAATTCACTGTGTATGGGTGAAATGGTCATGTTGCCATTCAATTTTTGTTTGCAGCCCTTGTTTATATCCCCACTAAACTAGCGTCTTTTTGCTTTTTACTTGTTAAACTTCTTATTTGGTGAAGTATAAAGTCTTTTTACTGTTATGTAAGTTTAAAATATGTTATCTCAAATACCAAAAAAAAAAAAAAAAGACAAAAAGGAGGGTGGGAGAGAGAAAAGAGGAGGAGGAGGGAGGGAGGAAGGAATATCACTATGTTTTTGGCCTTGTATCTACAAACCACATTGAATCTGTCACAAACTAATTAAAATGTAAAAAACCAAAATAAATAAATCTTTAAAAAAATTTAAAAATGTTTCAGTCTTCCCTTGATTTTTAAATGCACCGTTATTTCTAGAAGAAAACAAACAAAACATGCCCCATCTCCCTGTGCTGTACTTTGAAGGAAGTAGTTTAGGTTTTGCTATGAGTCAGTGTTGAACAGGAATATCCCAAGTTGGAAGGAGACTGGGAGATGGAGATTGGCAAGGAAAGAGTTTATTAAGGAAGACCCTTGGGCTCAGCCTGCGAGGAAAAGTGAGGAGGGGGTGGGATCAGTGCTGTCTCAAGCAGGTGTCACATTTTGGAGCCCTGGTTCAAATCCTGGCTGCTCCACTTCTGATCCAGCTCCCCCGCGGGGAGCCCTCAAGCTGGGCTATCCCTCAAGCCTGTCCTGACTTGCTACTTGGACCAACCCTTCTAGGCAGGGTGCCTCTCATGGGAGGGGGACCGGGTAGCCGTATGTAGCCGAATACTACTTGAAGATGGCTCAGCCTCTCTAACAGCCATAGTTAATTGTCCCTATTTGTATTTTTTCTGAACTGACTTCAGATGCCATGTAAGAAGCTCACAACTCTAGTGCATGATTTTTAAACCCTGAACAGTGTCCGCCAGCTCCCTGATATGAAAGAAGGGGTCCTGGACTCATTCTCCCACATCCTCCTTCTATTTTATTAGCTCCATCATTTCAAGTCTTTCTATTGGGCACCTTATAATTGCTAAATAATATATTTTTATTTCTTAATCTAAATAACATATTGTGTCTTCTCTCTGGCCACTGTGAGATAAAGGAAATTAGTACTTCTACATAGTCCTCTCACTTTCTTTTTTTTTTTTTTAAAGGATGTACTTATTTATTTATTTGAAAGGTAGAGAAACCAAGAGAAAGATCTTCCATCCTCTGGTTCACCTCCCAAATGGCCACAATGGCCAGAGCTGGGCCAGGTTGAAGCCAGCGGCCTAGAACTCCATTGGGGTCTCCCATGGGCATTTAAGGGCCCAAGCACTTGGGCTATCTTCCGCTGCTTTCCCAGGCACATTAATAGGGAGCTGGATTGGAAGTGGAGCAGCTGGGATTTGAACCAGGGCTCCAATATGGGACACCATATTGCAGTTAAGAAGCTTAACCTACTGTGCCACAATGTGAGTGCCTCTCCCACTCTCTTTAATTCCTATCAACTAAACCATTGCTATTACATTACATTGTCAAGGTTTATAACACTTTATGTTCTACAAATAAAATTAGTATTAATGTTTTTCTATAAGCTAAAACCTAATAAATATCAATAAGAATATTATGATGATATAAATATATTTGTTATTGTGGGACTAGTTTTGCTTTTGATATCATTTTACCAAACCTATACTGTTTTTAGAAGAATGTCCTTAACATCAGTCACAAGGAATATCTCTCTTTTTTTTTAAGTGTATTTATTTTTATTAAATTGAAGGAGAGAGAGAGAGAGAGAGAGAGAGAGAGAGATCTCCCATTCGATGGTTCATGCCCTAAATGCCAGCAACAGCCAAGGCTAGGCTAGTCTCAAGCCAGGAGCTAGCAACTGAATCTGGGTCTCGCATGTTGCTGGCAGGGACCCAAGTACTTGAACCATCATCCGTTGCCTCCCAGGTGCACGTTAGCAGGAAGCTGGATAGTGAATAGAGGCAGCACTGCATTCCAGGCACCTGATAGGGATGTGGGTGTCCCAACCAGTGCTTGACCCACTGCACCACAATGCCTGTCCCAGACTGTCCCTTCTTGTTCTGTGCTGTAGAAAGAATAATAGCCTCCCATCTGAATCTCCTACTCTCTGAATATGTTACCTTAAGGCCAGAATTTAGGATTGGTTTATCTACCTGTTAAATTATGTCATTCAGGGGCCGGTGCTGTGGCCTGGCAGGCTAACTCTCTGCCTGCAGTGCCAGCATCCCATATGGGTGCCGGTTTGAGTCTCAGCTGCTCCTCTTCTGATCCAGTTCTCTGCTTATGGCCTGGGAAAGCAGTGGAAGATGGCCCAAGTGCCTGGGCCCCTGCACCCACATGGAAGACCCAGAAGAATCCCCTGGTTCCTGGCTTCAGATAGGCCCAGTTCCAGCCATTGCAGCCAACTGCGGAGTGAACCAGCATATGGAAGACCTCTCTCTGTGTGTTTCTTTCTTTGTGTCTGTAACTCTATCTCTCAAATAAATGAAAAAAAGACAAAAAA